ATAATTAATTGAGAATTAATTATTATTTAAATAATGTGATTTTTTAAATTTGAATTTGAACACATCTAGATTTATCCATTTAAACTTATTTGATAAGTTGTTCAATTTAGAATTCAAATTAATTTAAGTTTGACTTAAATTTGAATTTGAATTTGAAATAAAATTGGACTACAGGATAAAGGATGATTTTCTCTTCCTTCCCTATCTAGTATTGGCGCCACACACAGGGATGGGAGTCCCTAGCATGGCCGGCCACAAGGGATAAGGGATAGAGGAGAATTTTGGTTCGAAATTCAAATTGGAGATAGAGATTGGATTCCTTTTAGAAGTTTGACTTCTACTCTATAAATACTATTTTTGAGACAATTTTCGGGATGGTTTTTTGCCCTAATTTTAGAGGTAGCCGAAATTTCTCTATAGAAATTTTGGAAACAATTTTTCAGCCTTAAGAGTTAAGGCTGGCCGAAATTCTCAAGAGAGAAAGGAAGGAAAAATTTTTCTCCAAAAATTCCACATCGTGCATGTGATGGTGTTTGTGGAAATTTGAGTGTTTATTGTAACCCGTTTAGTCTCATGTGTGCCCACACACACGTCTTTGTGGATTCTAGGAATTGATGTGGAAGACATTGGTTTTCTAAATACAAAGATTGGAGCAAGGACTGTTCGTGGTCAAATAACTCAAGTTATCATCTGAGTCGGCTTCCAGGTATTTTTCCTGATTGAGTTCTTGATATATATAAGTTAATGAGATTAATTTATTCGTGCATAAATTAATATAATCTATAGAGTATCTCAAAAGTTTTATGAAAATTGTTGTTATACACGATCCGCCTCTCCCCCGCACCACCACGCTTCCGCAGCCGGATTCGATTCGGCAACCAACAATACATCCACAACCCACTTACCCATATTTCGCTGCCACACCCTCTCTGCATGCCCAGCATCAAGTTTCAAGGAGCCGGTGCCTTACCCGTGCTTCCTACAACACGAACAAACTTAAGGAGCTTTTGCTCAGCAAGTATCAATAGGTCATAACAGATGCAATAATTATGCATACCCATATATGCATTCATGTCATATAGCCTAGTACAGAATTCTAAACGACTTTCATTCTGTATTTCTCATTCTTTTCATTCTTGTTTACGGATATCATACCGTTATATGAAATGGTTTCTGTGTTTCATTTTCTTGTCTTTTACTTCTTAGGGGCCCTGTCCTGTTGTACCATAGCGCGCATAACTAGTGAGAAGTGGGGTAGCAAACCAATTCAACTCAGTCACGGTTTCATATCTTTCATAGTCTCATAATAACCTTTCCTTCGAAGGCTGGTACAAACAGGACGTTTAGTCTCTTACCGTTTATCAATTTTCTCATTGAAACGGTAACTTTAGTTAAATCTTATGAATTTGTGCATTATTGAGCATTTTATCATGAGATTAACTTTTCGTTAAAGTTTAACCTTTCATTTCTCTTAGTTTGATCTCGACTTAACATCGATACATACTTTTTGCAGAATAAAGTTCTACGATTATAAAAGTCTTGTAGATACTTACCTAACATAGTATCTAGCATTCACATTGTATCTAACATTCAAAATTCTACTATATGCACAATTTTTGTGCAACATAGAAAAGTAAGCTTGTTCATGATATAGCCATAGAAAAACTATTGTACTTACAGAAGTTTCGCTAACAATGCATCCTTTGTCTCCCTTGCTGATGTCCGACTTCAACCGTTAATCGGCCCTATTGCATAAATTTTTTGATTGTTAGATTCAAAATCTAAGATCAATAATTACATTGAAATTTACGTCAGAAAGATCTACAATCCTTATGTTTGGTATTCGACCTCAAACTATTTCCTATCTCAAGGATTTACACTAAAACCGTGTAAATTACTCAGTCATGGGCCTAATTTTCAGTTTCGGTCCAAAACTGTGAATTCTCATTGTGTTCGGTTTCTAACCATCACCGATTATCGAAATATCTTTCTTTTCACACTTTAATCCCATATTTCTCTTGAAATTCAGTTGTAGTTCAAATTACTCAAACTAAATTTCGGCAGAGTTTCGCCTTATTTTTCTCATTTCCTGAGTTTTCAATAACTCGTTCTACTTCCGATTCTGGTACCTGGAGTCAAGATTCACATTCCTGAACACAGATTCCAACATAATATTGAACAAAAACACATGTTCTTCCTCAATCTAGGCTCACGGATTTTCAAAGAAAATCCGTCAAAACTTCGTTCAATCGGTTTAATACTTACACCGTTAGACTCCTATTACGATGCTCTACAAAACCTCATTTTTTATTTTTACTTTAACGGAAGTTTTTCGAGATGGGTTACTATTCATCTAACTCAAGAAATCATAGAATTCTCATTTTTAAATCTAAAATCTTATCTCTAGAAGTTGAGATTTTTCACTGGAACGCCTCAAGTTACGTTTTACCAGACTGAACGGAAGAAATCTTAATGAAAATACTTGATTTTCCTTTCTCCGTCTCTCTCTAACAACTCTCTTCTTTTTCTTTCTTCGTAACTCTCTCACGTCTCTTTCTTTTTTTTTTTTCCTCTGCTATGCTTCACGTTGGCATTAGCAAGTTTTTTGTTGTTTATGTGTAATGAAGTATATACTTAAAAGTCAAGTGAGTCTCCAAGTATTGTCTCACGTAATACTTCACGTAGTATGCTAGCTACAAAGTAGTGCCAAGTGTTTTCCTGCATGTAATGCTTATGTCCACCTCATGGTAATTATTCTCTTTTTTTTTTTACAAACTTATCTCCACCTCACGGTAATAACGTGAGTCACCAATTTACATATAATCTTGCATATATATATATATATATATATATATTATTTTAGATAAACTAATTTCTTAAGAAACGTACTTAGAAATAATTATATAATATATATATACATATATATATACATATACTGTAACTTTACATATTTCGAAAAATTTTACCCCGTACATAAAGTTTTTACATAATATTTTCTTGATTACATCAAAATTCTACTACTTACTATTCCAGAAAAAATTTCGGTCAAATACTGGACTGTCTGGATTAGACCTAAATTTTTTCCGGTCATTACATACAGGCATCAGTAAGTAATTTATACTATGATAAATTACGTACACAACCACAAGCACAAGCCTTATCACTCCCCGGCCGGGTTTTGAGTTTTTCCCCCAAGGATGCACTCTCCACATCCTATTTAGGCCATCAGCCGGTTTACCGATTCGCAAGATCTTTTGTTTTAAGAAATCATTCATTAAACTTTATGAAACAATTCATTATAATTCCAATAGCTAAAATCAAGTAATTGTTTTAAACATGCTTTTCTTTCGCAAACATGCCCTTTCTTTAAAACATTTGCAAGGCCAAAACTCTTTTAAAATCAGGCTAACAAAGAAAGGGGTAAGAAATCCTACCTCTCAAATACCAAACCTGTGGCTAGCGTTGCACTATTATGGCTTTTGCTTCCTCAAAGCCCCTTAATCCTAGTCCTCAGCTAGCACTGACACAAAACCACGCTTTAAGATCCAATTCACATTCCTAAAGCAATTTCAATCTCAATTATATCCTTTGATTTCCTATTAGTGTGCCTTAATCAATTTTCAAGTTTCATAATCCAATTCATGTTTCATATCATCATTCCAAGGATTTTCAATCTCAAAACATGAATTAAAGATGCTAATCCATTCATTCTAGGTCCCCAAATGAAGCTAATTTGGGTTCTCTTCAAAAACTAAGGTCAAAACAGGATTTTTCAGCAAAACATGGTCAAACCCCGTGTACACCGGTCGACCGGTGACAGAGCAGTACAACACCACCGGTCGACCGGTGGTGTGCACTTCAGTCGGCCTGATGGAGTGCAAACCGGTCGACCGCACAAGTCGACCAGTGGGAGGCTGACAACTCGACCGAAAGGGCCAATCCGAAGAAAATTCAGCCAAAACCCGCAATTTTAAGTCCAAATTCAAAATATTTCAAGGGAAAACAACCAAATCCAGGTTTTAGGTACTAAATCAAGTCTGAATAACCCAAGATCCCCAATTTCTACCATGGTTTTACATAAAATTGTTCAAAATCCATTTCGAACCAAAAATAAGTTTTCTAATCTGAAAAACTTAAGATTCAAGAGAGGTTTTCAGAAATCTTACCTCAAATCCTTCTCTTGACGTTGAAAACTTCTTTAAATTCCTCTTTGGTTCGAGATTTGGTTGATTTACGAGAGAAAACGAGAGAGAGAAAGAGAGAGTGAGAATGACAGTGAGAACTAGAGTGAGAGTGTGAGAGAGAGAGAGAGAGAGTGCACCGGAAGGGAAAAAGAAAAGAAAGAAAAAGAAAAGGAAAAGAAAAGAAAAAAAAGAACAGGTGTCACAAAATTAAAATACAATCCAGAAAATGTGCCTACACACACTCCTAGGGTAAAAATATAAATACTGAGAATATTTAAGGACCTTGAAATTATTTAAATCTACAGGTCAGAAACATATATTAATCAATAATTAATTATTTAAATCAGATTATGCACACTAATAAATCTTAATTACCTTAATTAATTTCATTTAATTCTGTGTTACAATTTATCATTGATTAATTAAATAGTATTTTATTATTAATCAATATATGTTAATAATTAATAAATTATAAATTTATTAATAATAAATCAGTCAATAACTGATTATTGAAAACACAATTATTTTATTAAATAAAAAAGTTTGACCATTTATTTAAAAAAATAAAATTCAGTCATTTATAAAAAAATAAAAAAAAGGGGTCAAAAAATGATTTTCTTATTTTTTTTATAGTCACGTGATTAAAAATAAAAGAAATTAAAAAAAAAAAAAACTTTTGGTTGAGAAAAGAAGAGAAACTGAAACAGTTAACAGATGGTAGTTAATTAAAGACAAAACGACGCGTGGGACCCACACGTCCCCCTCCTTCCCTCCAAAACCCACCACGTCTGAACTGTAAACTCTGAACCCAAAACAAAAGAAAACCACCATTTTTGCTTAATTATTATTTTTTACCAGAAGAAACTACCAACAAGACGAACAAACTTCTCCAAAAATAATTAATAATAATAATAGATAAAAACATAATAACAAAAAGGAAAAATTTTCATGCGAAGCTCGCAAAAGCTCAGAGACCGCCCTTCGATTCTTCCGGATCAACCCTATTCTCTCTCTCTCTCTCTCTTCTTTGAGAAGCTATAATGGCGGACCAGAGCTTCAATCTCCTCCACACTCTCGAGCCTAGAAGGTACTTCTTTCTACATTCTACAAAACAACTAATTTCACTAAAAAAAAAAAAAAAAGAAAACTCCTTTTACCAAGTTTCGAAAGCTTCTGGATTTCTCCACGCGTCCTCTGACCCCTAAATTTCCGTTCTGGATCCTTTTCTGCCGATTAATTCTTGTTCTTAGCTTTGGCGTCGCGTTTCTTCGCGCAAATTTTCCTCTCTTTTTTTTTCTATGAAATTCGTTTTGTTGTTTGTAAATGGTGTTTTTGATTGAAGAATAAAGAGATTGGATGAAAGTAGGGTTAGTTTTGAAAGTGAAATGTGGTTTGAGGTTTAGAATTGTTAGAGTGAGAAAGCTATGGGCAGTGGAATTGACACTCTTTTTGAGCTATGTTGTTGTCCTTGTTGAGTAAGCGCTCGTTGGAAGTTGATTCCAGGTCTGTTATATACATGTCTATATATATACACACACACACACACACACACACACACACACACACACACACACACACACACACATATATATATATATATGTATATGTATGTAGTTTAATTAGTTGTAGTTTAATGTCTTATAATTATCAAATTAGCATAGTGGTGATATGGTTCAGATTTGTATTATCTCCCAATAACTTTTATTTCAACAGGGATTCCTATGGATTCGCTTTGAGACCGCAGCACGCACAAAGATATAGAGAGTACGCTAATATCTACAAGGTATTTGCTATTTCTGCTAATCAAATCGCTATGAGTTTCTACCTTTTGAAAATATTCCAAAATGATCAATCTTTTGCTCCAACATGATCGATCTTTTCATCATATGGAAGACTGACTAATTCTAATATAATAGCAAAAAATGTGAATATTAGAAAAAGGAACTGTCTTTTCCGTATACTTTCCCTAATTCCGCTGCTAACCAGTCTTGGACAGCCAATATTAATATGAAAGGAAAAAAAAAGGTTAATATGACATAAAGGAACTGTCTTTTCTGTATATTTTCTCAGGTTACATTTCTATTGCGGTCTTAAAGCAGCTAATAGTAGTACAAAAGCGAAAAAAATGCTAATATAAGTAGAAAGGAATTGTCTTTTCTATATGCTTTCCATTTTTCCATTGCTACCACGGTCTTTCCGCAACCAACAGAATTCTATCTTATCGTGATGTTGCCGTAAATTGATGTTGCTTATGGCACATGCCAATATGTATATTGTTTATCCAGCTTAATGATATATTCCTGGTATTAGGAAGAGGAAGAGGAAAGATCAGATAAGTGGAAGAGCTTCCTTGAACAGTTGGGAAGGTATACTCAACCTTGCTACTCTGGGAGAGAGCATAAAGAGGCTTTACGGGCAGAAGTAACCGAGCAGAAAGTCGAAATAAATTCAGAGAGGCTTGAGGAAGGGGATGACACGAGCATTAGACAATCTATTACCGATGGTCTATCAGAAAGTGATCCCAAAAAGGAGGTACAGCTTTCAAAGGAAACAAAAGCCAGTAAGGTGCAAACATGGGCTCAAATTAGATCATGCCTTGGTGCGATAGAGAATATAATGAGCTCTCAAGTTAAGAAGAGGAAAAATATGAAAGATGAAGCGATAGGCATGGGAGAAAACCATCTTCAGTTGATAGAAAAGATGGGATCTCCAAAAGCTTTTGATGACTTGGAGGAAGAGGTCTTTATAAATGATGTTTTAGATGAAAGTGTGAATGCCTCCATTGCAGAAAATTCAGAGAAGGATGGAACCTCCAAGAGTGCAGATACCACTGAGGTAGAGGAGAATTTGGGAATTGGTGTCTCTCGTGGTGCTAGTATGCATGCTGCCAAGGAAGAGTTTGCTGTGAATGATGGTGTCTCTTACAATGTGGGTGATGCCAAACCAGAGAAGCATGACAGTGTTGATGGGTTCTATTGCAGTGAGAGTAACGTTGGAGCAGAAAAAGATGTTGATGAAGGGTTTCATGTAGAGCCTTTCTTTTCTTGGAAAGAAGAATTGGAGTGCCTCGTCCGAGGAGGAGTGCCAAAGGATCTCAGAGGAGAGGTAAAGCTTGCAGTTTTCAGTTTATGGAATCCACCAAGTTCTTTCGTTTGTAAAACAAGTGCTGCATTTGATCCCAGGTATGGCAAGCTTTTGTAGGTGTGAAGGCTAGGCGGGTAGAGAGATATTACCATGATTTGCTAGCACAAGAAAGAAACACTAGTGAAAGTAAGGATGGTGACAAATTTTCTGGTGCAGCCAGCAAATGGAAAAGGCAGATTGAGAAGGTCATTAGATGCATGCGTCTTGGATTTTTTCATTTCAATTTGTAGGTGCTGCTTCTTTTGCTTTATGCCAGAAGTGGGGTATCTCCCTGTGCTAAATTGTTATCTATTGCAGGACATACCTCGTACATTTCCAGGTCATCCTGCTTTGGATGACAATGGTAGAAATTCTTTGAGACGTTTGCTTTTAGCTTATGCTCGACATAACCCCTCTGTTGGGTACTGCCAGGTATTTGGACAAGTTCAGTAGCGACTTTGTTTTATCGACTTCAATTAAGTTACCATATCCTTCCACCCAACTCACTAAAGTCAACTTTTTTCCATTTATTCTGGGAAAAAAGATTCTATGAGCCATTAGGCATGATGTTCGTTTCATCTCGTTCATGCAACAAGTATCCTTTTCTTTTTTATCTAGTTTTGCTAATATAGTATTTTGGTCCCACTATACATGCAGGCAATGAATTTCTTTGCAGGATTGTTGCTACTCTTGATGCCTGAGGAAAATGCCTTCTGGTAGGTTTAAAATATTGTTCATCTTTATATGCATGGTTTTTAGGTTAACAATCGTGGGCGTTACCACGGGTAATGTAGAATGGTTTTGCAAGACTTATGAGTGGTACATAAATCGTCCCTCGAGCATGACCTTCATTTGTTGTAACTTTACGGAGCATGAACTTTCCCTTGTTAAAGATAATGTCCTTAAATTATATTGCTATATTTATGTATACACACAAAACCATACATGGAAAGAGAAAAGTATCTACGCAATGCTGATCCGATTCGCTTATGGACTGCTTAATGAAATATCTCAGGACTTTGGTGGGTATATTGGATGACTACTTCAATGGCTACTTCACTGAGGAAATGATAGAATCTCAGGTTTGATTTTAAGGACTTTCCTGACCATTGGTGTGAATCTCAATCTGATGTTTGAAATATTTTGTCCTGTATATACTAAAAACCCAACTATTCTTAGGTGTGTAGAGGTTCTGAGGATGTTAATCTGTCTTTTATGTCAGGTGGACCAACTTGTCTTTGAGGATTTGATGAGGGAAAGGTTTCCAAAATTGGGTTTGTATATCTTTGTTTTGGCCCCCCTTTTCAGTTCTTTTTATTACATGAAACAGTGTGGGTAATTTTGTTCGTTTTTCCTTCACTTCTGGTGCAGTTAATCATCTAGATTACTTGGGAGTGCAGGTGGCATGGATCTCTGGACCTTGGTTTCTTTCCATTTTTGTGAATATGCTTCCTTGGGAAAGTGGTGAGAATCGTTCATCTAGTTTCCCTTGATATCAAGTCGCATCCTTGTAAATCACCTTACTCTCATTGCTTTCTCAATTTTCAGTTCTCCGAGTTTGGGATGTACTTCTTTATGACGGGAACTGTGTTATGCTATTCCGGACAGCACTAGCGTTGATGGAGTTATATGGTAGGATTGAGTGCACATGAAAGTTCGATCTGTTTTGGTCCCAATTGTGTTAAAATTATTGTAATCTTGTCATTGTATATATTTATGCAGGCCCTGCATTAGTTACAACTAAAGATGTGGGAGATGCTACTACTTTGCTGCAGTCCCTTGCAGGCTCGACATTTGATAGCAGCCAACTTGTTTTGACTGCTTGCATGGGTTTTCTGGCTGTAACTGAATCCAGGTTGCAAGGCTTGAGAGAAAAGCATCGCCCAGCTGTACTTGCAGTAGTTGAGGAAAGATCAAAAAATGGTCGTGTTTGGAAGGATTCCAAGGGGCTCGCCACTAAGTTGTATAGTTTTAAGCATGATCCTGGATCACTAATAGAAGAGAAAAAGACTACTGAAGGAAGTGAGAAGCTTCCAAAGGGAGATAAATCTCATTTAGAGCATCGTTCCTCTAACGTCAAGGATTTGCTTGATCACTTAGCTGTAGATCCAGAAGTAGATTCTTTGCCAGATCTTCAAGAACAGGTAGCTATGTCCTCTCATCTTCTCAGATATACCATACGTAAGTGTACCATTCTGATTTGAAGTCTGCATAGGCTGAACTTTTACCATTAGCATTCTTAATTTGGAAGTTCAGTAATGTCTCGTGCTTTTCTTATCGTTTGTAATATTGTCATTATCACCTTTTTTCTCATCAATAATCCCTTGGCATCGCATAGCTGATGATCTTTCATTTATTTATTTATTTTTTGGTACACAACCCTGCTTTAACTGGAAGGGTTAAACTTTTCAGTTATTTTACTTAAAAAATAAAAATAAAACCACCCAGGTGTATTCCTTGGCATCTTGAAAATATATATATATATATATGAACTTCTTAACTCCTTTTAAAGTGAATCATTAAAAACTTTTGTACAGGTTGTCTGGTTGAAGGTTGAGCTATGCAGGTTAATATATATATATATATGTGTGTGTGTGTGTGTGTGTGTGTGTGTGTGTGTGTGTGTGAACTTCTTAACTCCTTTTAAAGTGAATCATTAAAAACTTGTGTACAGGTTGTCTGGTTGAAGGTTGAACTATGCAGGTTGCTGGAGGAGAAAAGATCTGCTGTACTCAGGTCAGTTCCTACTTTGGGATTTTAGTTTATGCAGATAAGGATTTCAGATGCTATTTCTCTTTCCATGTTGTGGAAGATGAAGACAGGGAACACACGGTTTACTGTCACAGCCAACTCCATGGTTGAAATCCTTGCACTGTATACTTACCTCATCCACGATGCCTCAATATGCTGATGTAAATTTTGTGAAGTTAAAATTCTTTTTCAATTTTCTATTTATCTTTCACATATTAAATTTGTTGTCTCTTTGCCATTACAAAAGTGGAGTTTGCATGATCGCCTCTTCTATGAACAAGCCCTCCGGCTGTATCTTCAAGCAAAAGGAAAAAATAAATAAATAAAAATAAAAAATAACATATATGTAGGCTGATCATTGCCTCGTGCCTTTATCTATCACAAGGTGTCAAGAAACCTCCATAGGTTATAGCATCGAGTTTTTATGTTTGCAAATTTCAATTTCTTTTTAGCATGAAAAAAATAATAATCTTTGCTTCTGAACCCTGATTTCTTCTTTCTAGAGCTGAGGAGTTGGAGACGGCACTAATAGAGATGGTCAAGCAAGATAATCGACGGCAATTGAGTGCAAGGGTATTTCTAGCACTATTTTAGCAAGCTGTCCTTGCTCTGTTATCTCTGCATGTGAAATCAGTGTAAAAGAATTCTTTTGCTATTGTAGTTTCAAAACAACGTGATGTATTGTGCTTTCCCAAAGTCCTTCCAGCCCTGTTGAATGAATTAGGTTCATTCAGTATCGTAAACTCTTATGGTTCCTTAACATCTGTGAACTTGCTGAATATCATGCTGGTGAATTGATATTTAATACAAGTCAAGACTTCATATCCGAGCAGTGTTGCATTCTTTTCCTCCATGTGACGGTTAGCTTATTATTATATTTTATTCTTTGGCCTTCCCTTGCATTCCTGCAGGTTGAGCAATTAGAGAGAGAAGTGAGCGCGCTACATCAGGCCCTTTCCGATAAGAAAGAACAAGAAGCTGCAATGCTTAAGGTTTTATTTCCCTTCCCTATTTCTTGGGACAAGTGACATTTTCTTGGTGTTTTTCTGTCTGCATTCATCTCATTTTACATGATATAGGTCTTGATGAGGATTGAGCAAGAGCTGAAGGTAACTGAAGATGCTCGATTAAGTGCAGAGCAGGATGCAGCTGCTCAGAAATATGCAGTATATGTGCTTCAGGTTTTATTTGTCTTGTGATATTTTCATTATATGATATGATCACTGCCGAGCACCTGTTGCCATTTCCTGATGCTGGTCGTGGTCCATAATTGAATATCCTCATTGCTGTTATATCTTTGAACTCCTACCTGTTTCTGAAGGCAATAGCGTTGTGCAGGAAAAGTATGAGAAGGCTACGGCTTCACTTGCTGAGATGGAGAAGAGAGTGGTTATGGCAGAATCAATGTTGGAGGCTACACTGCAATACCAATCTGGCCAAGTCACAGCACAGTCTTCTCCACGGTACTCGAGAATTTCTTTTGTACTATTCTTCTTTGTAGCCACAAAATTTTCATAGTTAACGTAGATGATTTGATACACAAGTATCCATGTCAAAAAAAGTTAATTCGACGCTATTCAGGATTAAATATGATTGATCTGATATTATTATCCGTCAAAAACCTAAAATTTAAGTGCCTGTAAATGACACTTAATGCCAGACAATCAATTAACAGGTGTTTTACTCTTGTTGTAATGACCGATACGAAGTGGCGTGCTGGCATCATATACTTCTACCCTTTTTTCCCCTTCCCGTTACCTTACCATGGTAGTGTCCTTTCTAGGGCTGCACGTAATCAAGGATCAACTCAGGAGAGCACAAGGAAGACAGGTCTTCTGCCTTTTGGACTTGGTTGGCGCGACAGAAATAAGGTATATATTATTGATATTGCCTTTAACGACCACCCATATATTGTTTGCAAAGCTCATCACTTTCTACCGACTTTGCAAAACCTACTTCATTGACCTTCCAATGCTGCTATATGATCTGTAAAGTTTGTCAATTTATAAACATTTGTGTCACAGGGCAAACCAACTAATTCCGAAGAGCCCAGTGAAAGTAAAACCACAAATGAGCTAATAGATCTAAGCACTCAACAGAAGAAAACAAGTGAACAAGAACAGTAATGGTGTAGTGTAGAAGAGAGATGGCTTCAGTACCTTGCATTTTTATCATTGCCAACTTGATTGTAGATATGCATACAACTTGGCCTAGGAAACAAACAACAATGTACCATTTAGAACTTACATTCTAGTCCCTGGATTTCAGAAAATTCTTTCTGTGTATTCAATTAATTTATTTATTTGTAATAAAGTAATACTAAATCAGCTTGGTCATCCGAACACATTGGAAAGGGCAAAAGTTGGTCATTGTCATCGACCTGTAATGAGCGGGAAATATCGTCTTCAAGCATAACTTGAAACGTGTATCATTATGCAAAAACACTTTGAGATATGAAATTGAACATAGAAAATGGCTCAACATGCATTTCAGAAATCAGACTGATAATGTAGCGTCCATTGTGTATATAAATGAGATATCATCATATCTTAACCATTCAGTTTATACAACTCTCCAGTCTTCATAAGTGAAATATACGGCAGAACTGTACAACAAAAGCCCCTGAAATAAAATTATGGAAAAGACACCCAATATAGTATAAAGAATGCAGATTTATACAATGGAAAAACCACTACTTGCTAAATGGCATACCAATTTAGATAAAGCCTTGTTTGTTTGGATATACATTCAGGAAAAGTGAGAAAAACTAAAACTCTCTTTCTAACCAAAAAACACAAGGGAGAAGCAAATGCGCTTTTTATTGGACAGATGATATGAAATTTGGTATATATATGGTGAATGAGATGCAGCTGAAAAGTATCCACAAATCTCTGAGCGGAAGTCACCATCGAACATAACCGGCATTACATTCCCCGTGAGCATGCAACTGAATACCCCGTCTTTGAACTTGCAACCGGCAAGAGAACAAGCCTTGTCTCGAATCTTAATATCATTACATGTCCAGCATATCAACTACCACCATTGAGCTCTCCTACCAGTCTCTCCTGGTTTTAGGAGTACCGGGGGCGAAGCGAAAGCTTTGTACTGGTTGTGTATCAGGGTCATATTTCTGCGAAGCAAGGTAACTCAAAGCTGTGACAACATCAGCTATGACCGGCCTCATATTAGGCTGCTCCTGAACACACATGGCTGCAACAGCAAGAGCTTGGTACAGGCCTCTTGCAGGATATTGACCTTGGAGCATTGGATCGGCCATTTGCGAAAATTTCCTTCGGTCATTAAACAAGGGTCGTGCCTGAAAGTAATCAGGTCAGCTTATTTCATCCAATAAAGAAAAAAAGAACGTATTTTTCCTTTTGGACTTACTCTAACAATAGATATCCTAATCATGGTATAGAAATATCGCAATTAGACTACTGAGGGACCAATATGCTTCAGCGTCTTAAGTAAATAATGAATAACAATAAATCTCGACCTTCCATATCATACTTGGTAATTATAGTAAACATCTTCAAGCGAGGACCATAAACTACATTATGAAATGGGACAAAAAGGATAGCAAAAGTGGGAATCTCTTACCCATGCAACCAAGTTCTGCTCTCCTGTGGCTCTTGAAACGTCAATTGCTTTCCTGCCCGTAATAATTTCCAAAAGAACTACCCCAAAACTATATACATCCGATTTCAACGTTAATTGACCTGTCATCGCATACTCTGGAGCACAATATCCGTAGGTGCCCATTACCCTCGTAGACACATGCGTGTTATCCCCGACGGGTCCGAGTTTAGCCAAGCCAAAATCAGAGAGCTTTGGATGGTAGCCTTCACCAAGCAAAATATTTGAGCATTTCAGGTCTCTGTATATAACAGGAGGGCTAGCTTTGTCATGCAAATACTCCAATCCTTTTGCCGCCCCGGCAGCTATTTTCATTCTAGTGTTCCAGTCAAGTCGTTTCTTACCGGGTGAAATGTCTGCAAAATAAGCTTATAAAAAACTAGCATCGCATGAAAGAGTAGATGAATGAAAACAAGGTTGAGAAGCAAATGGACTTATACGCAAATTGCATACCATGTAAATGGTCTTCCAAAGATCCCAAGGACATGTACTCGTAAACAAGAAGCCTTTGATCTCCATCAGCGCAATAACCGATAAGATTAACAAGGTTAGGGTGGTGAAGAAGGCTTAACATTAAAACTTCAACGAGGAATTCCCTGTTCCCCTGCAGGCCATTACGATCAAGTTGCTTGATTGCAACAACCTACACAGCAAGCAATAAAACTTTTAAAAATCCATGGCCAGAGCTTAGATTACATAATCTTTTGTGGAAAAATCAGGAAGTCATAACTTAGCAGAATACTTTTCAGCTGCTCATAATTTGACTTACTTTTTCAAAGCAAAATAAGCATTATATGGCTAACCAACCTGATTAGTACTTTCTAAACGCCCTTTATATACTCGACCGAAGCCTCCCTCACCCAATAGACATTCCGCCCTGAAATTTTTAGTTGCAGCTGCCAACTCACGGAATGTAAAAGTCTGTGCTGCAATGTGATCCGACCCTCCGTTTTTGGAAGCCTCCTTCTCGCTCAATGATGAATTCGTCCTGAAATTATCTGAATCAAATAGGGGAAACAAACATTAAAGATTATTTAAAAACTTAACGAACCAAAGAAGGTTGGACTTGATTTCCAAAGTGAAGGAGAGTTGAATTCACCATTACCAGAATGAAGAGATTAAATCGAAAAAAAAAGGATGCTGGAATACTGCTAATGCGAAGCAAACAAAAATTAAAGCCCTAATGCACATTGACTTTAGTATCTCAGGTTCCTAGCAAAGAGAAATATTGGAATGACGAGAATTATGCTTTGTAAACTAAAATATGCTCAGCTATTCTTGTCTCTACAAACATATGAGAGATGTAGTGATCTGCTAAAAGCCATCTTAACAAGGGCTTTATTCACCACCAATTCATGGTTCGAACTTCAAAGGCACCAGAGTTATTTTCCTAGGTTGAACCTCATCTAGAAACCATGGCAAAGACTCAAATTCAAATAGAAGCATAAGAATTACCCAAAAAAGAAAAAGATGCTTCGAAGCAAAAATCATAATCAGAACAACCTCCAAGCCAACTCAGAAGGCAAAAGATATCTAATTTCAGAGATATATCTCAAAAATATGCAAAAAAATTTCCCAAGAGTTATTAATAAACATCACAAATAGAAGTATAGAACCATTTCTAAACAGACAAACAGAAACTCAAATAATTATTTATTTTTCCCCCTCTTGAATCACAAACTAGTGAAAAAATACACAATAATTCCTCAGTCTCTGATCAATACAGAACAAACCCAGATAAGAAAACGATCAAAACTCACCATTTAATATAGAAACAGAACCAAAAATCAAAAGGGGTATCACTATTATCAAACCTGATATCAAGTTTCAAGCTTTCCACACACACACACACACACATAATTATATATACATATACATAGGAGAGTACCTGAAGTGGGTTTGATCTGATCAACGTTGTGCTCAATCTTCTTCGTCTTCTTGGTGGTCTTATGAGCTTTACTGTTGGATTTTCCAGAACATGGAATCCAACCCATGATTTTTGTTTCTTTAATTTAGTTATATCTCTTCGTTTTTATTGTTTTCTGAGTGTGTGAGAAACCGAGGAGAAAAGAAAAGAAAAGAAAACGGAAATGTTTAGAGGCAAAGATATCCAAAAGAGATTTAATGAATGAAAGGATGCCTCTCCTCAACCGAACCAATAGCAGAGCAGACCCCAAACACGAGCCAGACCAAGTGATAGACAGTATTTTGTTTGTGCCACTCCTATTCAAGAGAAAAAACAATTAATAAAAATAATAGAAAATAAACTCTTTTCTTGCGTAATATTTAAACATTTTTTTAGAATCCTATAGTAAATTTACATTAAAAAGAACTATTAGTGTGACATTAATTATGAATCGTCGAATTTTTATTACTTTTGTTATATTATTGTACTTTTTTTATTTAACTTAATTTTGATGAATTCAGAATTGTAACTTTGTGTAGGGGTAGGGTGGATATTTCATCAGAATTTTATCAAATTATTTAAACTATTAGTATTGCAACAATTACTTCTTACTTTTCTATATCATTTAGTTTTTTTTTTTTTTTCCAAAAATAACACTGTTTAGTATTTGAAATTATAAATTAGGTAGGGACTTTTGAAATTTTAATAGACATAATCACATACTCAGCGTGTGATAATATAAAATTCTATAAAAGTAAATACACAAGATGCAAAATATTTTTTTTATAGTATTTTGCACTGATTGTTTTATAAAAATTGTAAATTTTTATCTTCCTTTTGAAAGAAAAATCTCAAATCTTAACACAATAGCGACATGACAACTTCTATCATAAAAAACTATAAAATGTTAATTTTAGAATCAGAGAACGAAGTTGTTTTAAAAAGTTAAAAATTAATCGGCAAACAAAATAATCTAAGGGCCAAACTATGACTTGTTGAAAATTTAAGAACCGATATCCAAAGTATTTTATATTTTTTTTTTATGAAATCCAAAGTAATATATATATATATATATATATATATACACGCATAATCAATCATTGTATAAAATGCCATTACTGAATAACCTTTGGAGCGAGTCAACGACGTCGTTGCTACACCTTTTTTTTCTAATTTGGGGTAATAATTACGTAATGGGCCGCCCGTAACTATAAGCTGGATAATATATTAAAAAAAAAAGGGCGAATTTACCGCTGAGGCCCACATTTTTGCCTTCGAAATGGACGGTTCAGATCACTTCTTTAACGGTCAAGATCATTCGATAGAGCCCCACGTGTCCACCATATCTACTATATATTTTATGTCTCCATTAAAAAAAAAAATTACTGACAGCTGGTGCTCTGTTTGGATTGGACCCTCACGGTTCACTGTCTTTATTTTTATTCTTTTGTTTTTTTATATATTAATATTTTTAAGGAAATTTATTAAATTTTTAGAAAGTATTATTGTTTCTATTGTGTGGCAATAGGAAGTAGCAAACACGTTTGAATATTATAAAGTCACTTTTGTAGACATTTTCAACTCCACCAACCAACTCTAAGATTTGGGCAAAAGATTTTTGCCTTTTTGGCTCATCTTTTTTCTGTGTCAATATTTGACTTGTGACATGAAACCAAATATAACGCGTCCTATTTTCAAAATATATACATACACACAAAAGTATGTAATGTGTCCTTATATCCTATCTCCTATGTTCATATTTTGTTGCCACAAAAAAAAAATAAATGAATAAATTGGTGTTTGTAACTTTCAACTTTTAGCAATGTAACAGTTTGGCACTTAAAAACTTTTTACCAAGTAATTAACTATTAATTTTCTTTTCATTTTGATTCTTTACCATAAAATTGATGAATTTTTAAAAATTCAACGAGAAATAATCATGTGATATACTATATATGTGTATAACTTGGTGTTCATCCAAAAATAATCATTTGATATATAATATGTGTATAACTTGAGGTCATCCGAAACCAATCTAGTCATAAAAAAAAAAAAAAGGAAAGAGAAAAGAAAAAAAAATAGTCTTCTGTATTTTTGGTTGCAAGTTAACCAGAAAACATGACGTTTGTTCCATCTCCATTTGAAGCACAAGAGAATAGAAGACATGAGATTCCACCTAATCACCTTCAGATTCCATCTTTAATATATTTTTATGTGTGTGTGTGTGTCTATATATATATATATATATATATATATATACACACACACACACACACATATGTTTATATATGCATATGTTTTATAAATGCAGGGTTCATGAACCAAAGTGAAGCTAACCAATCCACTTCAGGAGTTCTAAAATCATGAGAAGAATCAACATGGAACAGGAGAAAAGGTAAAGGGAAAAAATAAACATCTTCTGACTTCTGTTTATTATGCTTTTTTTAAGGATCTTTGTTGATTGTGTTTTACAGATCTAGATCTAGATGGATATAAATGAAGCCATCTTGTAACCCATCAATTAAACAGGAATTACTGAAGTGTTTTTATTTTTTCTTTTTTTTTTTCTATCGAATCTTTGTGCTTCATCAATTAAGGAACAAAAATGTTCCCTTGGCATCCGATACTTCACTTGCGGAGCTCCAATATATTTTTAAGAGCCAAGGAACTTACCAATTTGTTACATTCTGTAGCAGCATTGATCATCATTATTAGTAATTTTCAACAAATTACAGGACTTTTACATCAAATATCGGATAAGTGTGCTCCAATATTATTATGTATGATTACTCTAAGAAATTAGCAATGATAATCATCAATAATAATATCTAGCCTTCATGAGGGGTCTCAATTAAGATGGACAATTGGACATATTCCAAATCATATGCCATGTATCCCTAATATTATTGTATGTTATACCTTAAAAATTTATCATTAATGATAACCAGTAATGACATTAATGATTAACCTAATCTTCACAGATGAGATTTTTGAATTAAGGTGGCTATCATAAAAACAATGTTAAGAGACACCAGTAGTGCTGAGCACCATACACTAATAAAATGTAAATCTCGACATCTATTAGTTGTGGTACTTAACACTGGTTGTGTTCTGAACATTTTTACCCAATACGGCATTCTTGTGATACCCCTTTTATCCAATCTGACATTCTTAATTTTTTTTTTTTCAGATTAAAAACTATGAGTTGGCTAAAGTTGTGTGTTCCAAAGTGTCAATCATGTGGTCTGTCTTTACTAGGAGGGGCCTGTGAGCCCGGGTGAGAGGACATTGGATTTGGGTGTGGTTCCTGATTGGCATGTCATGGTTGTGTCTTCCTTCATATGTTGTGATGAAAGCCCTTGGGTCGTCTGATGCTCTTTCCACGTGCTTCCTCACGTTGCATTTCAGACTCGTGCACCTGTAGTAACTTCTGCAATGCAGAATATAATCATGTGAGGGAATTTTATGGGAAAACTAGAATAAATTTTAAAATATATATATTTGATAAAGTATTAAAAGAATATCTTATCACTAAATTTATTTTATTTTTTTAATTCTAAGATAATTTTGATATAATCTGACACTTACATAATTACACAATGTAGTACAATTACATAATATTATAAATTCTAATATGATTCTGACATGATCTGAGGCTGTAAAAGTAGCACAATCACATAATACAATAGAAAACCTTGAACGAACTAGGCCAATGGAATCTTTGTGCTATTGTCCCTTGGCATATAGAAAAACTTGGGAGGCTCTTTTGTTAACTAATGCATTCAGACAAATCATGAACATTCTTTATTTGGAAGGCCTGACATGGGAATTTTGAAGTTGGACAAAATAATATATATATATATATATATAACCAAATTATTATACATCTTAAACAAGTTATCTGAAATCTTAACCTGGGATATGGACTGCCCTTTACAACCTTCTGCCCATATTTCCTCCAGCGAAAGCCATCACCTGAGATCTCAGGATCACTAGAATTCTGCACCACAACTTGGGACTCTTGCATGGCTTCCCCTGATGTGCCTGCTTCACTGGATTGATTCTCACCTTTTCTGAAACAGAAACACAATAATTTTGACTATAAGATCGGCAGTATTCAACTTCAATGCATTTTTGCCAACACCCTTGTTGGAAACAAGGGAATTGAATATATTTTAAGCTCACTCATTTTACATAATGCAGGTCAAACAGAAAAATTGCATTATCTAATACCATATCTTTGATTGGCATTTTTGGTCTGCTGACCACTTTATCATTTTTTTTTAATATGTTGTTCCAACTAAAAGCCAGAAAGATTCAGAAAAATGTTAGTAATTTTATCACTGTTGATGATGTAATCACCATATATAGTGTCAATATATTAAAACTTCAATATATCAATGTGACTCATAATTTTACTTTTCACCATGTAACAGTTCTATTCTACTAGCCTGAAAGATTCAGCCTCTGGATGATATTAAGATTCTAAAAAATGCCATTTATCACCGTTGAAGATGTGACCACCATATATGTGTGATCCATAATTTTACTTTTTACCTTGTGATAGTTCTATTCTTCTACCACACATGTAGTGATTATAACAGAGCTCTAAGATTTAAGCTTATATTACCTTCTTTTACTTTTGGGTTCATCATCTTCTGCTTCAAGCCCCTTGCTTTCTTCCTCGGGTTCAACACTAGGACCACGAGAGTTATCTGCTACAGTTGGAAGAGAATCATGAGGTTGTTGAGCTCTACTTTGATAAGACTGTAGTGACAAAGTTTCATTCTGATTGTCAAGTCTTCCTTCAAAACCTTCAATCCTCTCATTAAGTTGACTATTCCATAACTGGCTATTGGTATCTTGACCAGTGGTATCAGATCCTAGTCCTAATCCTTGTGTCCCATGTGAGCCGCGCTTCGGAGGCTGAGGCTTGGAGTGGTTGTGCTCACCCTTGTAGACAATTTCTGCAATCTGTCCATCCAAAGACCTCTCAACTTTCTTCTTCACCGGACAATTTGGATGCGTGCACTTGTAGTAACTCCGAGGAAACTCGCTTCCTTTCACTTGCTTCTGCCCATATTTTCTCCAATTGTACCCATCATAAGAAGGCCTATCACCAATTCCCATGGATGGTAGAGACCTCAGATCCTCCTCGTGGTTCTCTGACGTGGACACCATCTTTGAGGTCTCGGTTCTCTGACTTGTTTCAGCTCTTGAAGGAAAATTCTGATGTGGACTTGAGCTCATCTGGGATCTGAAAGTATGTTTATCTTGATATGGGTATTGAACTTGGGGCTCAAATGATGATTGTATTGGCTGATTAGTGTTATTGAAGTTTCCCTGGTCAAAAGAAAAGGGTTATTGGTTCTCATGTTTTCGATACTTCTTTGCTTCATCACAAGATAAAACTGAATGCTGAACGAAAAAGAACAATGCAATTTATGACCACTGATCATCATCACCACTCGTTTTAATCACAAATTTACATGTCAACTCTGTGGCCCACACAATATGCCACAAGTATCGACACATTTTTACATGTCAATCTCTAATTGAAAACAACCAACATGGAAAATAGGCATACTTCATATGGAACTTAGCTACTAACCATATTTGCCAAGAGAGAAACAGTCGTCTTTGACACAACCTTTGCCAACGGTTTGTGCACCACAGTCAATTTTCCATCCGGTTTAGAACTCTTATCAGATGGATTACAAACTGCAGCACCAGAAATCTCCACCTATATTTTTTAAAAATTTTTTTTAATCACCAGAAGATCAGAGAAACACAATAAGTCCTAAATAGGACCATGAGGCTACCTGAGACGAAATCAACCCAGCGGCTGTCCGGTGCACCACTGGCTTAAACCTCACTGTCTTTGGCCTAATGGCAGGAACTGCAGTCTCAGAAGACGTGTTAGACGGCGTGGCATTAATGGCGCCTGCAAGGAGCTCTGTGAAAGATCTGAAGCTGGAAGAAGAAGGCCTTGAAGCAACCGGCTTAGCAATAACCGTCCTTTCTGCCTCCTTAACATCCATTGCCAACAATTGTATCTAATAATCTCTATTTCTTGTCCACGATATTTCCGAATATGGAAATCCAATCATCTTGAAGCCTTTCTTTCTTGATAGCATATTGATGATTATTATTAATCTTCTACTTCAAATCTGCATGATACTGGAATTGTACGTTGGTAAATACATGACAGAACAGTAAAATGAAGAGAAAAAGATAATGAAGCATAGCACAGAATTAATATACATTTAAGCCTGTCTTCCCACAAAGAAAATAACAATCTATAAATTCCTTAACAAAAGAGACTCTCCTTTAAACTATAACCAAGTTGAAAGAATATTTGTGTAAACAAATGTGGCAGGTTCATCATTGCCAATTCATGCCAGACAGATAATCCATTTTCTAAGGAAAATAAATAACCCCATTTTTAAATAAGTTAAATAATTCATTTTAGCTCAATCAATTAAAGAAGGCTATTTGACTAATACTATGAAACAGTGGATCCTAAAAAGTTCTTAAAAATACAGTTTATTAAACCCCAAACAAAAATTTTCTGCAAAAGAAGCCTTTTGGACATTGGGAAAGTTCAACTAAAAAATAGGGTCCTGAAAAAGCTCATTTGCTTTCAGGGTTTTGTCACTATTAGTGTCAAAATATAGGGCAATAATTGAGAAGAGGGAAGGAATTAGGAAAAATACCAGATAACCAATTTTTCCCAGAAAAATCTCCTATTTCCCACTTGACAATAATCATGGATTCTTAACAGTCTTAAAGATAAAATAACAGGTCAAATGTGATTGAACCATTTCTCCATCTTAATACTATTACTCTACACAGTCAAAATGAACACTGTCCACCCATAGATTATCATAAACCATGTCACTATTATGATATCTAACAAGCTGACAGATATTATGAAACTCCAAAGCAGGAAAATAGTTTGTCCATGCCACACTCGGAAAAGATAGAGAAATAAAAATAAAAAATAAAAAATAACCCATTAGATTGAAAATCTTTATCTCTTCAAAAAACTAGCTGAAAGAAAAATTAAACCCCATATAGCCAAAAAGTCAAGAGGAACTACTTAACAACCATAAAAATTTCTCTCTTTGTACACTGTAAATGGAAACATTTTTGTAC